GAGACCAACCCCCACCTGACTCCAACCTCCTGTCAGGGAGTTGCAGAGGGTGAGAAGGTCTCCCCTGAGCCTCCTCTTCTCCAGGCTGAACACCCCCAGCTCCCTCAGCCTCTCCTCATGGCACTTGTGCTCAGTCCCTTCCCCAGCCTCGTTGCTCTGCTCTGGACCTGCTCCAGCCCCTCAATGTCCCTCCTGAACTGAGGGCCCAGAACTGAAGCCTCTTATGAACTGAATTTCTTGTCCTCTGCCTAATGCAGAAGGCCTTGAGAAGAGAAAAGCTGGTTGTGATCTATAACACCTAAAAGTCAGGATGCTCTTGTCTACCAGAAGTGTCAGCTCTTATCCTTACATAAAGGAGTTATAAATAAGGGGGTATAAAGATAAATAACATCTATTTTGCCTTAGATTCTAATGTGGACAGTTCTGTTTCACCTTGAAAAGAGCCTTCTGAAGATGTAAATGCACTTACAGAGTGGACTAAATGAGCTCACCTAGAACCAAACCCAGTTTGGGCTGGAATGGAGCTCTGTGTGTCACTTCATCCAACCTCTGCCTTAAAGCAGTGTTGCCTTAAAACTCAGTTCAGGCTCCTCAAGCCATTGCAAATGCAAACAAAGAACAGAGAGAGCATGAAATAGCTGTTTTATCTCATGGATACAAGGCCTAAGTCACATTCCCTATACATTCAGTGCACTTTTCATCTGACACCTCACAAAAAGTTACAGTAATGTCACAATTTCATTCCTGACTCAAAGCCAACTCACATTTTTAAATTACCTTCATTGACAATATGCAAGCTTTACCTAAAATAAGCATCTGTCCAGTCTTCACTGACACCCTCAGAAGTTTAGCCAGTAAGATTATAGAAAATTTCCATAAGATATGGAAAAATTTGATTGTTCAACTTAACTGTTCCCCTTACACTGCTTTCTTATAGAAAATTTCCATAAGATATGGAAGAATTTGATTGTTCAACCTAACTGTTCCCCTTACACTGCTTTTGTCTGATGGGTAAACCTGATTCCATTACTTGCTGTGATGACTTGAACCCTTTGGTTTTTATCCTCTTCATTTTCTTCAAAGACAACACTCCTTTTGAAACACTAATGCCCCAGGCTATATTGTGGCAAGTGGTAATTTAAGCAGCAGATGATAAAGGGAGGGTTAACCCCAAGGGATGTCACACTGGTCACTTCACTTTGCACTGCCAACCACACATCCCTGAGGGAACAGGCAGAACTTCCCCAAGAGCAGCAGGATCTAAGGTACAAACAGCTTTGAGACTGAAAGGTGCCAACAGAAACAACCAAGACATAGAACTGTCCTGGTTGTGCAACACACAGTTCTCACTTGGTAAGAGAAGAGAAGGTTGCATGGAGAACTCAGAGCACCTGCAGGAGCTGAAGGGGCTCCAGGGAAGCTGCAGAGGGATCTGTGTTAGGAGCTGCAGTGACAATACAAGGGGCAATGGGTACAAACTGAAAGAGAGAAATTTAGGTTAGATCTTAGGCAGAAGTTTTCCCTGTTCTGGTGGTGAGACCCTGTCCCAGGTTGCCCAGGGAGGCTGTGGCTGCCCCAACCCTGGCAGTGTTCACAGCCAGGTTGGATGAGCCTTGAGCAACCTGCTCTGGGGGGAGGTGTCCCTGCCCAGGGCAGGGGTAGGAATGAGATGATCTTCAAGCTCCCTTCCACCCCAACCCATTCTGGGATTCTCTGAGCCTCAACTGGGATTTTTAAATGAAAATATCAATGCTGTTTGTTGAGTTGTTTTAAACCACAGGTTTCTCTGCCTTTTCCCACCCTGGGATTCTTTTCATACCCCAGTGCTTGTTATTTCAGCTGCTCCAAAAACGAGAGGAGAGAGGTTTGATCTCCTATCACTCTCCTGCCTGGCGATCCAGGGGCAGTTGGCACATGATGTACCAGCGCTGGATGTACCCTGGAAGACAGTGCCACCAGCAGGAGCCTGAGAGCACAAAGCACAGCGCTGGATGCTCCAGGCAAAACCCAGAGCTTTCCCCTCCCTAAGAAACCAGACAATGCCAGGTGACTCATGATGCTCTCCACAACTAGAGAGCTCTGATCCTCTCGCTGGTCATTGCTGCAGTCATACCCAGAACGTGGGAGAAGGGAAAGGATTCCCCTCGTGCCTTAGACACTCATTTTCCAAAGAGATTGCATCAAGATGTCTTTGGGTAATTGGGGACAAAGTGGCACTGTGGTTTCCAAACTGACAGGGCTCACTGTGAGCAGCAGGAGCTGCTGGGATGGTGAGACAGCTCTGAGCTCCAGCTCAAAGCTCCTCTTCCACTGCTATTTAGTGAGGGATTTGAGGCACATACTGTGCTACAAGTGAGGAAAATGGCATTTACACAATAAAGGCTCCAATGATGAAGGATTCCCTCACCCAAATGTAAAATAATCCAAGAGATTGTGGATGAGAAAATAATCACTGTTTTACAAAGAACAAATCCTTGGGAGCTGTTTTCATTTGCTTCAGACTCAGAGAGAAACAAAACCTTTGGAACAGTTTTGAAAGCAGTTTGGCTACAGCACATTCAGGTTCTGGCACTTAAAGAGACCAATTTTAGGAACCACTTTGCTCCTAATGATTAGGAGAGATTATGAACACATTTGAATAGGAAAAAAATGACTTCAGGTCTCACTATAAAACTATTTCCTTCCCTAACAGAAAAGCAATTCCTGTCGAAAGGAAATCATTCAATTACAACTGAATGATTTGTAATCCAAGCACCAGCTCCACCTCCATGCCAGTATGGAACTCTGCTCTTAGCTGAGTGTTCCTACCTTAGAATCTTATCTTTCTGACAGGTGTTTTCATTGTACTTGGTTTTGGCTGCACTATAAAAATAGTCTTTCTTGAAGTTTCCTCCTCTGGAACAGCCAAAGGGAAATGTTCAGTTGGATAAACAGCATGTTGTGGGATATACATAGGATGAAAAGACCTAGTGCTTCCTGCTAAAAGAAATTGGGCTAATTATCCAACACAAAAGCCTTTATTTGCAGTATGATAGAATCACATGATCAATCAGGTTAGAAAAGACCTCTGAGATCATCAAGTCCAATGTATGCCCCAACACCACCATGTCAACTAGACCATGGCACTAAGTGCCACGTCCAGTCTGTCCTCAAACACCTCCAGGGATGGTGACTCCACCACCTCCCTGGGCAGCACATTCCAGTGCCTAATCACCCTTTCTGGGAAGAAATTCTTCCTAATGTCCAACCTAAATCTCCCCTGATGCCACTTTAGACTATGTTCTCTCATTCTGTCACTTGTTGCCTGGGATAAGAGACTGACCCCACCTGGCTGCAGCCTCCTGTTGAGGAGATGTAGAGAGTAATAAGGTCACAGCTAAGTGTTGAAGATTTTAGCCCTTTCCAAAGTTACCACATTTTCTAAACAGCTGTTCTCCTGCTAACCTCAGTTCAACCCTTCCCTCTCCCAGCAGGAGAAAACATAAGGAAAGCAGATGGTCCCAAAGCCTCCAGAACCAAACTGAACCAAGTTCTCCTTCTCCCAAAACCTGCCAGCCATCTTCAGCTCTGTGCAAGTATTACCCTTTTCTTTCTTCTTCTTTGGCTTTAAGATCCATAAATTAGTTCCTCTACCTCTTCCCAGAACCTGTTCCAACCACTACCTGCTAGGTGTTGGCTGCCTGCCTGCTTCCACCTCTTTACTACCTATCAAGCTATCAGATTTCCTGTTATCCATAATGGCCTTAAAACCCAGAATATTAACAAGCCCACACAGTTGCAAATGCAACAGGAAGAGAAGTGCAAACACTTTCCTCCCTCCTTTTGACAGATTTAGCTTTGTGTAGGAGCACTTCCCTGGAAACCTACATTAACCACGTTTCCTGTTTATAGCAGATTTCATTGAGTACACGGACTCACGTTGAGAGTCACAACGCCACTTGACACATTAGCTGAGTTAGTGTAAAACACAAGCTATTTTGGACATTTCCTCACCAGAATGATGGATACTATCTCCTGCCTACACTGCAGTACTTCACTGAAGTTACCCTCCCTCACACTGCACTTGATGATGCTTTGGGTCCCTTCCAACTCAGGAGATCCAATGATTCTTTGCTAAGTGCAAATACATGTGTTTGGAAATTTCCAATTGCTCTGTTCA